GCCAGGATGATCTGAAAGAAAACTTAAAGACTAGGATCCTCAAAATCTAGGATCCTGGTTCTACCCTTCTCAGTTCAACTTTAAATTCTTTTCCCCAGAATTAATCTTGCCCATAGAGAAGAATAGATCTTAAAAGAGATTAGGAGTAATTATAGGAATTCCAGACAACTTTGCTTAGAGAGATAAGACAGAGAGGGAAGAGAGATGGATAAAGAGAAGACTATTTTAAAAGGTTTTTCTGTCTGCAAATATTGAGTTGTAATTTCTTCATTCATAATTACCAAGGTCTTATGTTCTGTTTCTTTTAGAGAAAGAGCTATGTGCCACTCTGCCCCTAAGCACCATTTCATGACTAAACTGTCTCACTGTTTGCATTTCTATTTCTCCTCTAGTATCATTATTCTTCCCAAAACTTCCCACAACCCTGCCCCATCAACCTAGGTTTGGTAGCTGTACAATACTATGGAGATTGTGTGTTAATTCACAGTGCAAGATTTACTGGGGTAAAAAAAAAAAAAAGAGTTGTGCTATTCTGAATAGGGTTTCTAGAGTTGGAATAATTGTGAGCATATTTCACATGACTGTAAAGAATGCATACTCAGCAGTGTGGGGAGTATTCTTGACTACCAAATCCATCAAGTGTTGCATATGACCAGAAAATGTAAGCTCTGTTGAGTGTTCAGGGAAGCAACCAGGGGTGGGGGGTGGGGCGAGCACAAATCTGAACAATCCCAGATCACAAGTGGCTCAGACTAGATGTACAAGGCTGAATAATTCCTACAAACTTGGAATGAAGTTAAGGCAAAGTTTCCAAGCCTTCAACATGTAAGAAAAGAGGGGCGGGGGGGGGAGGAAAAAGAAAATTCAAGAAATACAATCTGTTCCTCAAATCAACAAGATATTAGCTTGCCCTCTACCAGTTCAAAAATTTATTACCAGATAAAATAACATCTAAACAGGAAGATACATCTGCTTCTGGCAAAAATTTATTATTTGGTCCTAAGTAAAATTTTTAGGATGGTCATTTAAATCTTTCTCTAAAGAGAGATGAATACTCACTCCAGAGAGGTTAGTGGAATCTGTAAATGGATTTGAACATAACACTATGAAGTCATAGGTCCAATTCAGCTCTTAACAAGTATATTGCAGGACCTACCACTTCAGGATAACAGAAATTTAAAACAGCAGGCAGATCAATCTTTGCTTGCTGTTATGAATGTCTGTTATCAGGAATTAATCCAACTAAAACTCAAAGAAAATCTCATAGGAATAGACTGCATTCAGAAGTATTTTGTTATTAGGTTTATTAGAATGTCTTTGACTTACTTCTGGAAACTAAGGTGGTGCAAAATTTGAGTGCAGGGTGGATAAATCAAAGTACAACTTGTTCTTAATTACTATTCCTAGGCCAAACCCTTGGTTGTTACTACACTAAAAAGTCAGAATATTATCTATGCAAATAAACAAGAAATATTTATATTTAGTGGGCAAGGGACAAGTTGAACAGATAATTAATTTGTGCTTTAACTCCACATTATCAGTTCCAATTTTCCAAACATGTACTTTCTATTTTCAGACACCAAAAGAAACATATACTAACTATAGGAGACTGACTGGGATAGGCTTAATCAATTAGGGAAATCTCACACCTGTTTAATGCTTGTGTCTTTCTTATTACCAGAGCTGAGATCCTACATTGAGGTCTCAGAGCTTAGAAAGGCTTATCAAGCTGTTCTTACAATCTTCTCTTATCTCACCAGGAAGGCACTTTCACCAGTGATTATGTTGAATGGCTTTAAAAAAAAAAAAAAGGAAATTGGAAGTAAAGCTTCATCTGGGACCATGGGCTCCTCCTTTCCTTTTTGCATAAAAACCTGGTATTCTTTCTCTCCTATTTCAGCTTTCTATTTAGTCACTGTATTTTTTGTATCCTCACTCCCTTCTTTGAAATGCCTCTAGAATCCCCAAGTCCTCCAAGAAGCCTTCTTCCATGTCCTTGAAAATTCTGTGATCAGTGCTATGGTTTGGATCTTGAATGTTTCCAAAAACCCTATACATTAAATGTTGGACTGCTAGTCCATGGTGCTACTGGGAGGTAGGAGAACTCCAAGGAGGTGAGGTCTAGTGGAAGAGGTGTGCCCTTGAAGGGAATATTAAATACAAGGTATGATTAAGAATATGGTGAATATTTTTTAAAATTATGACAGTAAAAGATATATAGTCATTAATCCTCCTCGTAATACCCCTACCCCACTTCAAATACACTTACCCCATAATTCTTATCACTTTCTGAAGCAGTTCTGAAAGTCCTCTTTTATGAGCAATGTTAGTTGCATTGCTATGGCTACCTTGAGGTCCTGAATCAATTAAAAACATTTACTTTACATTGTCATTTTTGTAGAGGAGATAAAAGCCACATATACCAAATCTTGTGAATAAGGTGGATGAAGTGCCCTCCCCCATAATGTTTTTATGAGCTTGCCTTTCTTTTGGATGGGACTCATTTTTTTAAATTAAGTTTATTGGTACATTTTAGGTATACAATATGATGACATTCATCATTGGGAATTTGTACCTTTACATGATATATCTTGGTTCTTATTTTTTCCCCATTCCCCTGCCCTCCCTTCAACCCCTCCACCTCTCCCTATTTACAAAGACTTTGTTTCTTTTTTTTCCTTTTGTCATCTTATTCCTTTTCCTTCTCTCCTTTCCCCTAACCTTCCCACTTTCCCTTCTCCTTTGGACCTTTTCTTCCTATTTCAAATTATTCTACATTTTGATCCTTCTTTTCACTTTCAATTTCTCACATCAGAGAACTATTTGGTATTTACACATGCGTGTCCTATTTATTTCATTTAAGAGCATGGCCTCAATGTGCAAGAATGAGGCACTCATATTTTCGTTCACACCCTGTAAAGACATGAAAAAGGACTTTGGAACTGCTTCAGAATTGCAAGAATGATGCAATAAGTGTGTTTGAAGCAAGAAGAAGTATTTTCAGGGGGATTAATGGTGATGTGTCTTGATGTAATAAATGTTTAAAATTTAAAACTTCATTGTACATTTTGATTACACATTGTACATCAGTATCTTCATCACTTTCTGTCTCTGGCTGCCATGAGGTGAGCACCTCTGTCCCTTGATGATGTTCTGCCTCACCACAGGCCCCAAAACAATGGAGCTATGCAACCATGGACTGAGATTTTTGAAACCATGAGCCATAATAGCTCTTTCCTCTTTGTAAGGTGATTATTTTAGGTACTTTGTCACAACAAAGGAAAGCCAACCAATACGCATGGCAATTTGTTCCTTCTGCCTGTGAATGCTTTCTTGTAGGACTTTTACCTCATCTTTTAATACTCAGTACTGAAATTTGAAGTTTGAGCTCATCAAACCAACCAGAGATCTTTCTCCCTGTGTTTTGCTGTCATTTCACTATCTTGGTTGAGTCATGACAGTTCTTTAGGTAGATGTGTATTTTCCTCCATAACTGCACTGTTGAGAGTATAGGGAGAACAGGCTCATACTATGCCTTTAATGCTTGACAAGGAAAAAATAAGATGCTCCCCAAAAAAGGGATTGTTCAATTACTAAATATCCATATGATAGATGATTATACAGCCTTTGATATCATGCGTTCCAAGATTTAGTAATATGAAAAGATGCTTATCTTTTATATCATAGAAAAACATATAAAATCACATATATATATAATTTTTCTATTCTATATGCATACAGGTACATTTTTATAATCATATATGTTTATACATATACAGAGAGGAAAAAGGCTAGAAATAGTACAACAAAATCTCACCTGTGTTTTTGAGTCATAGACTTATATGCCATTTTTATTAATACATATTTTTTTTCTCCCAATTCTCCATGGTGAGTGTATATTACTGTTAAGATCAAAAGAAAAAAGGCCATGTTTAAATGAATAGCAGTTAGGAACCATCTTACAAGGTGGGGGACACACTTAAGCCAGTTAGAATGAAAGTAAAATCAAGCATTATTAATGAGTGTGTGGTATTCTAAGAAGAAGAGTTCATAGCAGCCTTCATAGTTTTTTCAATAGCCCCGGAAATATTCAAACTAATTTGCCTTTAATAGATAGAAGGTAATGTATTTTAAATTGAAGAGTATTGAGATCACAAAGATGTGGGATTAAGCATAACCTTTTCACTAACATTTCTCTAGGATGTTTATCCCCCCAGTACCCTGTCCCTTGAATACTTTACAGAAAAAGATTAGATTACTTATGGGCATCAGAACAAGTCTTGGGTTTGGGTGATGTGGTCAATCTTTTGTGAGAAGTTCCTTTTAAACACATTTCCCCTTGGTCCTCACTTTGAGGACTGAATCAATCATGATAATGAGAGGGCTAGCCCAGTAAGCTAGTGGCCTCTTTAGCTAACAGTTGAGTGGTTAGTCTTGGGCCTTAGAGCCTGACAGCTGGTGTGAAATTTTAGTTTCATTAAATATTGATGATGAGCTGAGTCCTAATTTCCCTATGTGAAAAATGGAGATATGAATGCCTACTTAATAAACTTATGAGGATTCCCTAAAATAATAACAGTTAGGTGTGTAGCCCAACATCTGGCACACAAGAAGCTCAATATATGGAATCTACCTTTATTTCCACCCACTCATTTGGTTTATTATTAATTTTAATT